TTTTTTGCCTCTTGAATTGAATAACACAGCTCCCTTCGATGTGCGAGAGAATCAAGCTGCAGATGTTTGATTGGTGAGTTGAAAGTACAATGTGTCTATTAATTCTTGAAAAGTTGAGATCTTGTTATTTTGCTTTTCAATAGTCCAATTTTGATGAAAAACAATATTTCGTTCCTTTTCAGGGACCGAGGCTCTACAGATGACTGTATTGGTACAGCGTTCATCAACTTGTCTGCGATCGCTGGACAAGGAGACTCAAGCGAAGGTAAGCGTCGTGTTGCGATATCACAAGTTGTCCCTTTTGATGTGCATCGAACATTTTGCACACTACGTAATGCAATTCGTCATATGAATATGCGACTTTTTAAATGGTTCATTGATAAATATGAATCAATTGGTTTTATTTGCAGGGTTTCTGCCCCAGTTCGGTCCATGCTTTGTCAATTTCTATGGTTCCACCAGGGAGTTCACAAATCTTCCAGATGAACACGATGACCTAAATAAAGGAATTGTAAGTATACTGTCAGCTGTCGGCAGCAAAATTTAGTCTGCTTTGCAATTGACCAACGAGAACGCTATGGCAAAGAGCATTAACCTTCGCTCAACTTTATTTTCTCAACTTGTTTCTGATTCGTGGCTAATTCTCCAGAACGGTTCAGAGTACGCTGAGCGTCTTCATTAAATCCATACAAGTCATTAATTAGATACCTTAATTACAGCAGTTTCAGACTGGCTTTCGAAGTACCATGTTATTATATTTGCTTTTTTGCCGTTTTGTTGAAATGGTGATGTGCTGCAACATTATTTGACAGATGCTCTAGAAAACATATTTTGCAATAATTAACCAGAAACGAATCTTTCAAAAGTCAGTAACGACTTGAATAAACGCATTTAGTTGGCTCATCAGTTTAGTTCAACTCATTAAAGCTACTTGATTACTTCAATGTTCTTCTTTCCTTAGGGAGAGGGCGTGGCATATCGGGGACGTGTTCTTGTAGAGCTGACCACGACTCTGAACGAAGACGTCAAGGCTCCGACGGCCGTGTTGGCAAATGAAGACATAATTAGTGCTCAGGTCAGTTAGAGAAATTTAATAAAAAATCCTGAGGAATAAAAACTGACCTAGATTGTTAAAGAACAGTAACTTTCAAATCCAAGACATGCCTAATTGCAACCACCATCGCCACATTCACCATCATCATCATTCAATCATCGAAACTTTATTAACAAGATTTATCATAGTGTAGTACGCATTGGTGCATGTACTTTAATCTCTCCTACCTCAACCTGTCCTTAATGTTAAAACTCACTGATATCAAAAGAGAATAAAATCTAAAGTCGACAAGATTTTATACAGTGTAGTACTCGCTGGTACTTTGTTACCATTAGGCCAGGACTCGATTCCTTACAAAGATATGGCTTCTGTTATGATTTCTGTTGTTCACGATGCAGTACACGTAAAACATATCAGACTGTTTATTTAATTAAAAAAGTGTATTCATATCTCTCCCTATGTGTGATGATGAGTACCTGTCCTCTTTTTAGCCCTTCCTAAGACGTGAAAGGTACAAGCTGTTTGTCTGTTTCTATGAAGCACTGATGGTCTCTGAAACTGACGGACCTATCGAATTTGAAGTTAGCATTGGTGAGCATTTCGTACTCCTACAAGAATGGTAGTATTGTTACTCCTTAGACTCGATTGCATGCCTCTCTTTCAAGAAATTGTTTCTCTCTTAACCCTAAAGTGTAATGGTCAAGAGAGACAGATAGGGTAGATTTCTGAATTTGAAGAAAAGAAATGGTCTACTGAGACCATTCAGTTTTAGTGATTGAGATTTGCTTACACGTTGCATTTTTTCCCAGTGAACGACAGTAGTAGTAAATACCACTTGCTAGTGTAAAATAAAAGGCGGCAAAACGAATTCTTTTAAATAGTTTTGAGTCAACGAAGAAAAAAGTACATGTACTTTATTCACCATATTTTAAACTTTATCACTTCTGAAACTATCGGCTCGTGTTCCCACAGCATTTCTCGTTCTCCCAAATTTCCACTCTTGTTTCTACTAAACAATTACATTAATAGCTCGAGATTTCTAGTTAATTAACAAGCGCACACTGCTGGGCTACTCACTATCTACAACAGAACAGATAGTGAATAGCGTAGGCAATCGGAAAACGACATGCGTGATGGAAAGCTGGTGGATTTATACTACAACTCGATAGAAACACGGTACATGTTTTCTATTTCATAATTGTAAGCATAATTCGGTATTAACAAGTTATTTTACTCCCGCTTTACACAGGAAACAATGGAAATAAGTTTGATGAGTCGGTAGCTCCGTGTAACACTCCTTCTTGCAATGCTGTGTATGACGGCTGCCACTATTACTACCTCCCGTGGGCTCAAGATAAGCCCTGTGTGTGCGTGGAATGCTCCTGGGAGGACATCGCCTTCAGACTTGAGCCCATAAACATCCTGAACAGACTGGGGGAGCGCTTGGTAATTAAGTGATAAATCATTGAAGGATTGACGCCTGTTGTTACTTAGTGAATATAACAGATGAAAAAGAGTCCGACTTTGTGTATATTTGAAAAGTGACAAAAATAAGTTGTGCACCTAGGCAGTTAAGAAAACAAAAGTGTTCCCCTTAAATTTGGCTCAACATGATAACAGTCAGCACTAATCTCAGAACGCCCCTCTTTCGTGTCATGGATTCATCATGGATTCTAGTCTTTTACAGTTTCAGTTGTATGGCTGTACGCTACTTGGTGTAATTTTTGGCGCCTCGATCGATCGCGCGTGTCAATGTTAATACTTTATGTTAATTTTTCGGACGCTGCCACCTTATTTTTCCTAACGTAGAAGGTGTAAAACACCTTTGAGTTCTCGTATGGCGCTAACGAATTAAAACACGAAGAATACGTCTATATTTAGTGCTTCACTGTGCTATTTATTTATCTTCAACTGAGTAAAAGTGTTCATGTTCAGGATGTAATTTAATTTATTTGTGTTTAAATTTAGCGCGAATCTTTATCTCGACTCAAGCAAGCGGCTGAACTGTCTGAAGTTAGTGATGACCCGAAGTTGAAAGACATGCTCTCTTCTCTGTTCGACAATCTTGTCAGAGACTGCAGGTATAATGAATGATTAGTGGGATGTAATAGAGTTTTCCAAGGAAAACGAGAGAACGATGGAAACGGGAAGACAGTTGAAGATTTGATTTGATTATCAGTGTCTTGTTTTCGAGTGTCATTTCACCGTGTACTCAACTCATCTTCGTTGTCAATTTTTACCAAATCGTTGAAGAGTTTGGTCATCGTTTGGCATTTGCATGCAGACCCACCCCCCCCCCCCAATAAAAAAAAAAGAAAAAAGAAAAAAAATTAAACACGCAAGTGTTTTATTACGTGACATTGTTCGTCACATTCTTCTNTATTTCTAGAAACGAATTGTCTCGTTTTGAAAATGAAATTCCCAAGCTTGCTGGCAAAAGAAATCAACTGGACATGAAGCTGCACCAAATGAGAGTAGACGAATTTGTAAGTATGCAACAATTTTCAATTTAGCATCTAAGTAGGTGGATTTTAAAGTTCATCAGTAAGTGCACTGTGCGAGTTTACAAAGCAAATGTAGTGTTAGGAAATGATAAAAAAGCTAACTCTCGGTGCAGAACTTTCGAACGTCGCAGGATAGGGCAATGGGTTAGCTGTTACATTTACTGAGTCATGCAGTCATTGGGATTACTGACGGTAGCTTTAACATACGAAATGCTGCTACAAGTATCGCCCTACTCTACAAAGTTACCCTACAAAGTTCTCTACGGGGAGGCTCCACCGCGATACCCTTTTGTATACCATTTTGACAGAAAAGGTATATCTTTCGTATACCTTAACTAGAAAAAAAAGTACTCCCTTTCACATAATCTTCTTGTCATTTTCATGTAACGCCCAATACATTAAATGATACAGTCATAGTGTGTCTGTTCAATATATTTTATTTAAAGGCCCTTTAGTATAGCTAAATGACGGATTTCTTTCCCCTTTCATATGCCTCAACTAGTGAAATCCCGACCCTTAAAACTGATGCCTGAAAAAGGTACCCCTTTCGTGCGGAGCCTCACGGTGTAGGCACAAACATTTTGACGGCTATATTATTGAAATTCATCTAGTAAAGAACTGATGCGTTCGTTTGTTTTGCAGAAATTCATGTTAGATGATATCGGTGCACTGCAGTGGAAGTTAGCACCGCCATTAGAGGGTGAATTGGAAAAGGATGAAGTGGACATCAACGAAATGTTGGCCGAGATTGAAAGTTACTTGCAGAGAATTGAAGACTTAGCTATTGAGGTAAATATTTGACAAAACGTACTTCGCCTCTTTTTATTCATGTCTTTTTGTATTTTTAGTTGGGGACCAGCGTGAAAGATGTCGAGCTAAAAAATAGCAGAGGAGTGCATTGCTTCTATTCTGTGTAGCCTGCGTTCCCATATAAACAAAGAGCTTTTTCTCCGTCGATTTTTTTTTTTTCGCCCTCTCCCCAATTTTCACGCCACCTGCAGACGGGAAACTCCCCGCTCGTAGGGGGAACACTTGACGTGCGAGCTACAGCGTTCCTCGCTTAATCACCAAGAAGTTTTAACTAGTTGACCTTTGCTCTATTTGCTATTCGTTTAACCATAGCCTCAAGTTAGTATGCCAGACGTGATCATATGGATGATCAGCGGAGAGAAGCGAGTTGCTTACTACAGAATGCCAGCACATCAGCTGTTATTTTCAGAGACCGAAGTGGCGTGTGGAAAGTACTGTGGAAAAACTATTGAGCTTCAAATGAAGGTAATGGTTTAGTACACAGAAAGCCTTTAGATTTCGTATTTCAGCTAAGTTTTATTTAACCCACAATCAGGTGTTTTTATTTCTTGCAGCGAAAAGACCAGACCAGATAGTAAATCTATTCCCGTCGATTCATATCAGAGAGTTTATGTAAATGCCTGTTGATCGCATTCATACTTTCTGTGTTTTATTTTAGTATCCTGGTAAGAAAGGAAATGATGTGAAAGAGCACCCAGAACTTCCCGCCAAACTGCGTGTAGAGATGTGGTTGGGATTGGAGAAACAGCAGCAGTACTGGACTGCACGACCCAAGACTGAAGGCGACTTCTGTGTGTTTGCTGAGACGGTAAGTTGGCGGGAGTCAGTTTTATGTGATAGGGATCTGTTTCACTCCATCACTAGCGTAGCGGGAGCAACAAGTAATCTACATTCTATCAAATTACAAGTCAAGGCCCAATTTCTTTCAAGAAAGAAGATCTTCCTCGCAAAGAGTTATCGAATTTTAAGCCCGACTCCCCCTTCCCTTTTTCCCCTGTTTCATGACTGCTGGCATCGTCTGTTCTATTTTCTATGTTCTTATGCTCGGCGACTTTAGTTCTTCTTAAGTCATTTATTCTTATGCTTAAAACTGTAAAAACAAAGATTATTTTTACCGTCACGTTACTAAAACTTAGCGTGGTATGCGTTTTAAATAATGATGATGATAATAATAATAATAATGCAAAAAAATAAAAAACATTGTCACTACTGCATATTATCTACGATGTAACTGATGAATTTCATTTTTATGCTTTTTTTTTAAATTCAGTACGAGAATGAAGTGAAGATCGCCAGCAAGTGGACCCATAAACTGTCGACTCGTGCTCAATTTTCTGATGCTTCTGGAGACGTAAGTACAGGTCAAGTCATTTAAACAAGTAGGTCCGAGTAGGGCGCCCACTGTGAGATTGAGGTCAGTTATTCAGAGGAACGCGAGGAAGAGATCCATGTCAAAGATCTTTATCAGTTCTTCTTTATGACCAATATAATTAACGGTGGATGGATATGCCGACCACGTCGACTCTTGTTTTCGCAACTACGATACTTTCTTAAAACTTAGCAGTAATTTGTTGTCGATTACTACAATGTTTTTTTCTCGCCAAAATGACAGTGTTTCCCACTGGCGCACTCTCTTACTAAACTTTTAAAAAAATAAATGTTTGTTGTGTTCGTCCTGGTACTTAATCAGTGAGGAAACCATTAACATAAAACACCTAACGAATTGGAGAACACAAGAAAAATTTCGATCCAGAGGCGTGTTTGGATTTCTCAAGTGTTCTCAAATAACTTGAAATTTGTTATGACAATGCAATAAATGATTAAATTTAACTGCGCGAAACAAAGAAAGAGCTTTTTTCTTCTCTCCTTTGTTTTATGCATATGGTTTATATTTTTTGTGTACGTCTTCTCGCAGCTGGAACTACCACAGGACAAATTTCTTCCGCCTGATGGATGGAAGTTTGAAGGTGGCTGGCAAAAGAAACCAGAGTTGAGGTAAAATCTGCAAAAAACGTGCGCAGGATGGGTTATTCCGGGTGCCACGATACATTTTCCTATGTTCACTTAACTAATAGGTTGGAGACACACAATAGAATGACGTTTACAGAATATTTTTAGCCAACAAACCCATGTACATGTAAGTACAGAATGTGCTGACTTGCCGCTGAAAGGTTAAAAAGTCCCCGGGAGAGGTGTCATGTTAAATTACAGGCCTGCTGCGGTCGTTTAATGAGTTCATATAACAAAGAAACTGTTATGAGTGGTTTTATTTTTCATTTAGTTTGTTCCATGACCCAGATGAGGGTCACAAGGAATTCTTGGTTGAAGCATTTGAAAATCAATCCAGAAGCTTTCCTGGTGGAGACTTTAAACCGGCGGACAAGAACTGGACTGACGTGGTAAAGTAACACTTCACCTTACGAAATTTTTCTTTACCTTTAAGCTTTCGTGAAATTGTTCTCTGTCATTATTCATATTTACCTTCCTTGAAACAGAACGGAGAAGACGTAGCACCTCCAGCCGGTCAACAACCTCCTCCCGGCTGGGCCTGGAAGATGAAGGACTGGGAGGTAGATAGGAATAGAGCAGTTGATGCAGAAGGTCAGTTATACCATTGGTGACATCGTTGCATACTTACGAGAGAGTTATGACACTGCACAAACATTTACGACTATGATCCCTCAACCAAGGAACCAAGGAACCAAGCAAGCAAGCAAGCAAGCAAGCAAGCAACCAATCAATCAATCACTTCATTTCAGGGCCTAGACTACTAGCAGGCCACAATTGGCCTACTAATTTGGATGCACTAATCGCCCCGATTAGTAACTTCATATTCCAGCTTCCCGTATTAAAACTCGTCTTTTCTTCACAATAACCTTGTGCCAAAATAATCATCATCATCATCATCATCATCATCATTAAAGCTGTGTATAATTCAAATAAAACAGGACTCGACATTGGAAATGTTTTTGTGCCAAATGGAGTCTGACTATTTCTTGTCTTGGTTTATTTGAGTGATGAGTTTGTTTGATCTTGTTAATTCTTATCAGTTTATCTGTTTATTAACGTACTCATTGCAAGGAGGAATGGAAGTGAACTTCTTTACTTATTGTAGGTTGGGAGTACGGTGTAAATCCAACATATGGCGTGTATGGACCAGTAATGAAGGCGTATCACATGTGCAGGAGGAGGAGACTCGTGCGAATCAGGGAGCTTTTGGATGCAAAAGCAACGAAAAAACAGGTAGATACTTCTTCAAGGGTAAAGAAATAATGAAAGTCTCTTTTCATAAACTAGAAATTGCTTTACTTGCTAGATCGCCTCAATTCACTTGAAACGTAGTTCGAATACGTCGCTCATGTTGAAATACAAAAACGGTAGACATATCATATATTCGATCACTACTTCATTTGGAAATACGTTCATCAGAAATGACACAACTTAAACGTGTATAACATGTCATTAACTTAAGAACGTGTTTTTTAAAGTACGTTGCTCTGCAAATCATATAATGTGCGTTCCATTACATGGTACTCTGAAAGTTTACACAATTGTTGTTAACACTTCTTCTTTAAACGTCCTGTGATATTCTTTCTAGGATCAATTACAGAAGCTTTTGGCTGAGGGGTGGGGCTACGCCCCATTGTTCACCATGAAGTTTCACGCCAAAGAGAAGAAACTGGATTTCGTGCGAAGAAGGCGCTGGTTGTTGAAGATGGTTCCAACTTCTGGAACGATTGATGGCTTTTCTTGCACTCTTCCACCTGTACTGCGAGTGCAACTCAAAGCCAAGGTAATGACCTCAAATTTCCAGTCAACTTAGACTAATAAAACCTCGTACAGGTCTCAAGATATTTCTTATAATGCTAATTAATTATCTCCAACTATGACCCATACTACATTTAACGAGAGTTCTTGCTGTGTTTACAGAAATTTCTAATTAGCCAGTCTCCCACTAGTTGGGACTAGAGCGGGTTTCAATAGAGTCTTGATAGTAATCAGGCAGTTACTTTGGTTTTGGTTTAGGTCTTACTACGGTTTGAGATTGGCTGAAGAGTCTAATTGGTAATGAAGTTATTGGTTTGGTTTTGGTTGTACCGCACTCGATTGAAAACCGCTCCATCCACTAAGTTATCATTTAGTTTTCAGTTCGCCTTTAAGCCATAATAAAAATAACAACTTGCAAAATAATACACTTTTTGCTACCCTTGTTAAAAAAGTTAACTTTATTGAGACCATATAATAGCTTTTGCTTGTCATCAGCGAGAGCGGTATACAATCGTTAATATTCTTAACCTTTTCATTTTGAAATATTTCTATCAGGACAGAGAAAGCGCGCTATGTTTGTCTCCAAGGATGTTTGTGTCGTTCAAGAGTAAGTAACAGTTACCCTACTTCCTTTTCGTTGTATTTTCATACCTCAGAATTGCTTTTTCTAACATGATATATTGCAACAATTTGTCATTTTCTTATCAGAGCCTCACAAGTATCAGTTATGGGTGTATGTCTACCAAGCACGTGACCTTGTCGCCAAAGATGAAACTGGAATGAACGGTAAGTGAACTCTTTGACTTGACTATACGGTGTTCTTTGTTTTGCTTTGTGGTTGCACTGTTGGTTTTAGTTTTAATTCAACTGAAGATGAAGCTAGTTTGACGCATTTTTGATAGTGTTGGAATTCAACTCAGTGGATCGAAGAACAAGAGTTAATTGTATTTTCCTCGAGTGTTATTTACTGTTTACACTAGTCAATGTGCGTTCTTTTAGTTTTAAGATATAATTCCGCTGCTGAAAGGACTGATGTCCTGAGAAACCTTTTTGCTTCGTTGTGAGACGTTTCGAGCGTTAGAGTACACGTAGGTACAAACAGTTGCTTCGACAAAGGATCTGACGCGCCAATCTCAGGCTTCAAATGCAGAACCAGTTTAAGTGAAATGGGTTTGACAAGGAAATAAATGCCGCCATTGTCACGTTTCAATGCAAAAACTGTTAGCCTCTCACGCCTTGGAAGTTCAGTCTGTTAAACAGTACCTGTTTCAGTTCTTATAACATGTTCTTGTTTTCCTTTACCTTTCAGATCCCTACGCAAGGGTAGCTTTTGCAAACCAGAGTCAAGTGACGTACACTGTTACCCAGAGTCCCTGCCCCACCTGGGATCAAACCCTGCTTTTTACAAGCGTGGAGATCTGTGAAGATCCAGAGAACGTGAAACGGAATCCTCCAAGTGTGGTGGTCGAGTTGTATGATCATGATAACGGCCTGGTACGTCAGAACTGGAGAGCTGCAAGAATCTCACATTTTCCTACAAAAGACAGAAAAAAGGAACAAAAAAATTGTACAAATAACAAAAGACAAGAAAACAAAAATAAAGAGAACAAAATAGGCCAAAAAAGGAAAGAAAGGAAAAAAGGAAAAGGACACATGATTAATTCCTAACTGATACTCAACGAACTTACAGCCGTACAGAAAAATCTTTAGATGCGTTTGAGTATGTGGAGGAATGAAAAGTTACTCGTTCGTTCAGTTGTCAGATATCAAAACTAATACCCACTGGCATTGATTAGCAATGCATGGGAACACACGAAATACCGCATCATATCAAAAGCACGTCTTAAATTTTAGCAATTAATGAAGCTGCTTGACGAAACCCCAATCAACTGAGTTTAAGTAGAAAATTTTCTTGATCTAATATTATTCAACGTGTAAATTTGCAGGGAAAAGATGATTTCCTTGGTCGCTGTATGCTTTTTCCCAAAGTTCGACTTAAGGGAATTGAAGCCCCTGAACCTAAATTGCTGTGGCACAAGGTGAAGCGTGGAGGCCAAGATGGCGGTGAGATCCTGGCTGAGTGCGAGTTATTTTTGGTAAGGAGCTCTTCACTTGATCGATCCGTTTTCCGTTTGTTTGTTTTTGTGCATAAGTACATTAGTTATTTAGCAAACTCACTAGAAAGAAAAAAAAAAGACTCGTACCAAGCTCTCAACGAGCATGCGTTGTACCAAGCACGTCGCGTATCGTGAGTCGTTCGTCGTTCGTTTTATTTATTTCTCTTTTTTGTTTTTGTTTCAATCTGCTCGTTAGAAATATATGGCGGTTTTTTTGTACAAAAATTCCCCGTTTTTGGATGTTAACCACTAAAAAATACTCAAAAACATCTCACTGGGTCTTTTTATCATATTCACAAACTCGCTCATCCAGCTGGGACATAAGGTCATATATGTCATTTGTTTAGGTTTTATAGATTAACAATTAATTTTTATGGTCTGGGTGCAGCAGGACGTGCCGCAAAATCCACCATCTATTGCGCGGGTAGTGTAGACTGTCTGGGACGCAAGATAATAATTTAGGACCAATCTTTTTTATTTAATACCATTAAAAGAACACAACAAGGCTGTGATCAGAGTATTTTCTTTTAGGACGAAGGAGCAAAGCTGCCCCACCCTCCCGCCCTGCGAGGAGACGTGTACCCTGTACGTAGCAAAGTGAGACCTGTGGTACAAAGGACAGCGGTGGAGGTAAGACGCAATTTTGTAAGAAAAGAATCCACTTGTTTGTTGCAGAGTCATGTCCAGTTATTATGATCATTTCATTACGCTAGCTAGGTTTCAGCTTTACTTCAACCGTTGATTCATTAGAAAGATAATGCAATACAATTTTTATGCTCACAGCTAAAGATCATTTGATTATATTTTAAGGTTCTTTGTTGGGGTGTAAGAAACATGAAGAAATACCAGATGGTAAAAGTGACATCGCCTTCAATCGAGTTTGAATGCATGGGTGAAGTCATCCCATCAACCGTTATCGAAAACACGAAGAAGACGCCAAATTTTGCAGAGCCACTCTTAGAAAGGAGGATACTTGTAAGTTTTGTGTGTCAACTACAATTAATGGACGTTGAAAACTACAGTTTTGTCTGTCTGTCTGTCTGTCTGTCTGTCTGTCTGTATGTATGTATGTATGTATGTATGTATGTCGTTTTGTCTGTCTGTCTGGTTTTCTCTCTGTCTGTCCAATCTTCATATTCTCTTGCCAATGACTATTTAGATCCCCCCTTCGAGCGCATGTATCCATGCACGCGCAGTGTACGACTATCCACATTTCACCAGTGGCAGTTCTTGTCTTTCCAATCGTTGTCAGTCTGGATATTGCCGAAATAAACTATTCAATCTTTCCTTATCATAAGAACCTACCAGTGGAAGATCTGTACTCGCCACCAATCAACATCCGGGTTAAAGACAACCGTGCATTTGGTCGTAAGCCATTGGTTGGCATCCACTCAGTCAAGTCTCTTGGACCCTTCAAGTGCAAGCTGCCTTCACAGAAAACAGCTGAAGACGAAACTGAAGTGGATGGTAAATTACTTCATCTTCTTGTTCGTACCTGAGCCAATTGAGTTGCTTTTGTAAAGCAACACCGTTGTTGTTGTTATTATTATTGTTGTTGTTGTTGCTGCTGCTGCCAAGTTAAAGGAGCTCAGTTATGGTATTTTGAGTTACATTGGCCACGTACAAAATTATCTTTAAATTGAAGGAAACTTGAAAATAATAGTTTTCTAAGATAGATAAACACCAAAGAGATAACAATGAACCACAAAGGAACAAGGATGGTGGAAGATGGAGAAGATTAACACGGATTACAAACGACGAAGTTCAAAACTTTAGCCTAAACTCTTTAAGATGCGCGAACCGTGACGAAACTTGTTTAAAACTCTCTCACCTACCTTTCTGTTACTTCTTACAGAAGTACTTGTGGATTTAACTGATGGCCCACCCCCTCAGAAAAAGATTTGGCCAGAGATAAAGGAGGCTGAAGATGCTCCACCACCGGCAGATGCAAAAGCGAAAGCAAAGGCGGATAAGGAAAAGAGAAAGAAACTCATCGATGTAAGGAACAAACTCTACGTTCGATTTGATTTTCGGCATTTTCAAAGCACTGTTACATGTGGTCTTCATAACGCCAAACTACAACCCTGTGCCAAAAGACTGAGGGCGTTTGGAGGTTTTTCACAGTTTTGGAGCTGTCCCAAAAAAATATAGCATATGAACCCTCGACTACGTAATCAATGATGGTTTCGTGCTGGTGTAATCGATTTATTTTAGAAAGTAGCATTGAATGAAATAGTTCTAATCTCATGTAATCTAATCTAATCTGATCTAATCTGTTAATGGTGATCATATCACTATTATAGAATAGTGTTTCATGCTATGGGTTTGTAGTACGGATAGAAATAATAACGGACGGTCTCGATAACGGAATGTCTTCGTAATTAACACTTTATTCATACACTACTGGAAAAGAGGAAAACTGCTAAATTAATCAAGTCCACCAAGAAAAAATGAAAGCAAAACACTAGACGAACATTGTGTTGTACATTTACTAAATATTGACTGATGGTTTTGATGACTCAAATAGGAAGCAAACAGGTTTGACTGGTGGTCTAAGTACTTTGCTTCAGTGTCTGGGGCAGGTGGAGCTGCGAGAGTGTCTAAAGGAGAAAAGGTATGACAACGTGCTCTTTTTATTATTTATTATTTTATTTTTCTGTGAGTGTGTTTTGTTATTGGCAGCAAAATGACTAATACATACAAGTATATTTAGGTTTTGAACAGGTACTGTAGTTAAATTAAGTATTAGTCATACATTTTTAAGGGTAAAAGCAAGGCGCTCGTAATTCTTCGCAGTCTTACACGTACCAAAAGACAATATCGATGACTACTATGACCCAATTTTGGAAATTGTTTATTTCCCAGCTTGTTGGGTTGTTCACTACCGACAAAGCAGGCGATAAGGCTGACTTTCAAGACCACACGAGGAAATATTTGTCAAAGGGCTACGACACACTCAAGGTATATAAACTTTTTTTCTTATTTTTCTGAGTCGGTTGACGTTTCCATTATTTACCTGCAGTTGGTTAATTTGAAGACCTGGTTAAGACACTCCATATTCGTACTATCGACGAGAAAACCTACCAATGAGAAATCTGCCGACCAAAGTGTTAGAATGCATGGATCTATAAAATAGAGATAAATAAATGAGAATATACGAAAATAAATAAATGAACATAAATGTTTGAAGCCGTATTTTCCACTACTGTACTCCACTACACTACTCCAACATTTGAGCGCATCCGGTTTAATTCTCAGAAAGGATTGGGTGTGTTGGACAAACGTTCGTCGATTTCTCTACTTTAAGTGAATCATGCTTCCTTCCCGCATATACACGACCGAACGTTTTTACTCACTTGACTAGCAGCCATGCAAATTAATTGGAAAAAAAAGAATGTGTTAGTATAAGAAAAGAGTTCAACTCCTACAGGATTAGTTTGCGACACCAACATGGGCACCAATATGGCTGACGTGACTTCATGTGAAAAGACTGTATTGAACTATTGTGATGTCCATTCTATTTCTAGATTTATCACAGGGAACTGGAGAAGGTTCCAGAGTTCAAAGGCTTCAACGACTTCATTGCAACCTTCCCACTTTATCGCGGAAAGACCAAGTCGTCGAAAGACGACGAAGACGATGACGGCACCGTCGGTGAATTTAAGGTGCGAAGACACCTGTACTTTAACCAGGGTACCGTGAAGCTTTGACTGGGCGGTTTTTGTTACGATCTGTCCCAATCCTTAGGAAATCCCCAATCCCAATCTCAGTAACAAATCGAAAGCCAATACAGATAAACAATCAAGGAACGAAGTAATACACAGATGTGTGCACAATGATTTAAAGATCTTATCGAAATAAATAATAATAATAATGATAATAATAATGAGAATGGAGATCTAAAACGTAGAGATGAAAAGATGTGCACATTTGAGGGACGCAAAAGACGTAAACAAAGGAAATAGGGATTATTTCATTTGGAGTTCAGAAAAGTTACTTTTTTTCTAACAATAATGATAATAATAATAATGAT